CTTGGAGAGGCAATTAATTTCTAAGTTAAATTCAAATCTCTCTGGTGCTGAAATTACAAGTAATTTCAGAACTTACAATTAAGTGGGTTGTTAGTTAGATGGATCATGATTGGTTAATATTAAATACTTTACAGTGGTAAAATATCTAATTTATCAAATCATAAAATATAGTTTAGATCAGGTTCCAATTATTTCAAGTCTGAAGTTGGCTTACCTTTCAAAAGAAGAGCATGCGTTGTTCCTGATAAGTCATTACAAAACGCATAAATGCGCCTATTATTTTCGTTTACAAAAACAAACATCATTTGTTCTGTTATATTTCTCACGGAGTGAAAAACTAACAAACCTAATAAACAAATAGGTCAATCATTTAATGAAATCGTAGAAAATTTTAATTTTTGTCATAGTTCAACGAAGAGAGATGCTAACTATTTCTCATTTCTGTTGTATTACAATTGAGATCTTGAAAATTTTGACTACCCGCACTGATAAAAATGGTTTCCGGTTGATTTAAATTTATTTTAAATCCATTTTAAATCGATCCAAATCGATTAACCATGTACATTTTACGCACTTAAATGTATTTTAAATCGATTTAATTCGATCTTTTTGAAAATTTTAAATCAATTTAAGTGTCTAAAAAATCGATTTAAATCGTTTTCATGGATTTTCCGACTCACTAAAATCCATCCGAATCTCACTTAAATCCATCAGAATCTCACTTAAATCCATTTTAAATCGATTTAAATCGATTTTTTGAAAATTTTAAATTAATTTAAGTGTCTAAAAAATCGATTTCGATGGATTTTACGACTCACAAAAATCAATTTTTTTTGTTAACAAGGCAAAAAAAACATGCAATTTAGAAAACTAATTGAAATACTTTCTCCTTGATTTTTTAAATAAAAACACACGTGCCAGATGTTTCACAATTCAAGAAATAAATAAAAAAAAGTTAATATAAATCAAATTTTGAGCTCAAAAATATGGAATAAAATTATTAAAAAACTATCAATTTAAATCAGATATTGGGCAAAAACCAATGTATTAAATAGAGAAAAAGTTCGCTAAAAATCATCGTTTGGCCTCAAAACTATGCAACGAAAATCTAGAAAATCATCATTGTAAATCAGATTTTGTGCATTAACATATGTAACAAATCAAGAAAATTGTCAAAATAAACAAATTGACCAGGCCACTGCTTTCTGTTTTGCTTTAATAATCCTTATTTTTTCTTTTTTTTTGTACTTTTGTTGGTATTCTTACTTGGATTTTTTAGGTTGGCTACAAATGATTATCTGCCAAAAACAAAACATTATAAGTTGTTTGGTGAAAAAAAAAAGTTGAACGATACTGCCTATAGCGCTGACTTTATATAGTTTATTTTCAACCTAAACAGCTTTGATAATATGGGGAAGAGCTAAGCTTCAAATTAGTCAATTTTATTTTTTACTCAGGTGGTTTTATGACTGCCAAACCAAACCGTAAAATTTATCCTCAAAATGTACATAAAAGGTTGGATGGACTGACTTTGAAGTTTGCTTAGGCTCAAAATTAAAAACACAAATAGCCAAAAACATTTGAAAAAAAATCTGTTCTCTTAAGTTTCGACCCTACCCGCCTCAAACTTATGCAAACAACCTTGCTTATACATGCAGCTTCTCAATCTTTGTACCATTTATTTCTGCAACTAAAAAAAATAGCTGGTGACTATATGTAGCCTTCAAAAATCCACTGATACTTGCTCTGGAGCAGTGTGTCCATTTTCATATTAATTCTGTCGCTTGTTAAAAGTGCACAGGCTTGTCACCAATAAAAGGTTAAAGCCTATGGATTAAATTTTTCCATTAGCTGTTTCAATTTTCAATCTGCTCGAACATATACAAGTTTGAGATTGTTTGGTAGGTCTCTGAGACAAAGTGAAACCGATTTTCTCTAGAAATAAAATGAAAAAATAGGATTCAATTCTGATTAAAATTTTACTACAAAAAGAAAAAATTTCATTCACCAGCAGCGCAAAAGTTTTATAAATTTTATTTGCCGAGTTCGTCATTCAAAAACCCTAGTCAATAACTCATGAGAAAGAGATATATGGGTAAAGACAACGACAATGGATGTTTTTGCGACCACGTACTCGCCAGTGTGAATTCAAGATCAATCAAAACTGCCTGCCAATCAAATGTACAAATCTTTCTAGTGCCATTGAAAGAACAACCATACTTGAAAACGCGCACGTACTCTCAGGTTTTGATGGTTTTGTTAATATAAATCACACTACATATATCAGTTTCAGTTCCTAATAAGGGATAAAGGAAGAAATAAATTTTGTTCACTTATGAGAGCTTCATAAGATAGCTTCCTTATTCGGCTTATTTACTTTCTTGCTGGCTTTTTTAAAAACTAACTTCTCAACCAATTTGTTAAAAGCAATTTGTCTTACAGTGAAACTACTCCGAAGTCCAAGAAATCCTTTTTTTAAGTTTTAGCTGATCGAATTTCTTTCAATTTTTTGATCCGTGGTGGGTTCGTTTATGATACATTTTTATCCATGACCGGAATAGTTTTTTTTTCCTTTTTGATCCGTGGTGGGTTCGTTTATGACACATAATTATTCATAACCTTTAAACAATTTCACAAAACTACTGCAATTATGTGGGAGCAAATGTCAACCAAATTTGAACTGTGTACGAAACAAAATGCCTCTAAGATTGGATTCTGCCAAACAATCAAAAAATACAAAATTGTGTAAGTATAGTTAGCAAACCGGTAAAAAACTGGGAGATAAGTGAAACTGGGAGCAAAGTAAAACTAAGTAAGACCGGTACAAAACTGGGAGCTAAGCAAACCCAAAGGCGGAGCCGGCACAAAAACGAGCAAGAAACGTTCCATTGCAGGTTTGACTGTCAGGAGGAACACTAGCAAAACCCAGACAACATAATTGCCATCCAGAATCAATGATAACTACTATAGGGTTGATTATGATGATGACGGATTAAAATGATGTTGAGGAATACAGGCGGATCAGGACAGGGTGGTGTAAGATAAAGTTGAAATAGCGTTGTAGGATTCATTTAAAAGTGACATGATAAGAAAATGAAACGGAAAGATAAAGTTGAAAAAGCTTAATTTCAAATAAAAAAGCAAAGATATCATGAAGCTGACAAAAAATCAACCTAAGTTTTATTAACAAATTTCACCGCTCGCTTATTCGACAGGAAATTTTTTTGTTTTTATCACTAATTTTTAATTTTCTTTTGAAGAACAATAGTCTTCTGTAAAATTTGACGCACCAAAAGTGACGGAAGTATGATTGTAACTTTTTTTAACCTAAACCTAAAAATCCCAACCTTGTGTTGGTATTTAAAACAGTTGTTCAATTAATTATAAATCTTTTAAGTTTAGGCAACCGAACCTTTTAGTTCATCTGTTTATACAAATATCCTTTTAACTCTAGGAACAGATCCCCTATGATCTATGATAACATCTTGTATGAGGCTTATGCTTTAATTTAGTCGCTACAAGAAACAAAAGGTACTATCAACAATCTTTAGCCAACAAATTTGCTTTTCATAAGACTCCGCCATTCTCGAGAAAATCTTTGAACCACCCGTACCAACTTCTATATTGTACTAATTATATCTAGAACCATTACGAGGCCCAACTGTTCACTGGATAAGCGCACAAATTATAAAAACCGATACGTATGAGAGGTCTTATAAAACTCAATTGAGCCTCATAGAGGAAAGTATCTCAAATATTTAAAACTTGGTGGAAAAAGAATATCAAAGCAAAAGAAGCAGCGTATTTACTTATCGAAGGTCAAATTAATCAAATCGCAAGTATTTATTGAAGCAATCTGGAAAAACACGCAAGCGTGCCGTGTTTTGGGTACCAGTTATCTGCTAAAACTGATATGGGAAATCATGAAAGAACTTCTTGTTAAAATATTCCATGGGGCAGCAGAGTTCACAATTGGATTCGCATTACGAGGCCAAACTGTGCACTGGCATAGACAAGTCTTATAACATGTCAAAACTTTATCAGAACGGTCAAAGGAAAGTAAAGAACAAAAGAAAAACAAAGCGAGCGTCCTTGTTGCGGAATCCGCTTACAATGCACAAAATGCACAGTTTGGCCTCGTAATGACGCACGCAATCACTTTTTGAAAATTACAGCTCATCTTAATTGATCTTGGAAATAAAAAATTGAGTTCGATGGATCATCAAGTCTGCAACGCGTCAAAAATACGCCAAAACTTTTTATAGATCATCATAAATAACTTGGAGGTTAAAATTGGAACAAACATTCACTTCAAAGCTGTATGAAAAACAGCTTTCTGTAGCTTTCTGTCTTCTATGCCATCTGTTTTTTCCGAGTACGATTTTTCATGTTCGTTACATTCTATGGGTCTTTTCAGACGAAACACTACGGATATTGCTACCAAACACAAGGTAGATATCTAGAGCTTTGTTTAAACTCGTAATACTGCAGAAAAAATTGGCAATTCAGAACCCATTTGGACTGATATTTGTGAAATTTGTCTCAAAATTTATCTCAAAGAAAAACGACAAAAAAACTGAAAGAAAGACCTGTTTGAAACTAAATTCAAAAAAATTGCCTAGTTTTGGTCTGCGCCATACTGTTTTCGCAGCCGAAGCCAGCATTTCTTAGTAATACTGATCCAATTTTGCAACAAGTTTTTTCGACTTTTCATCATTCAGGGTATAACGAAAAAGACCCCATATGTGTAAAAAAAGAGGATTTGTGCAGTTTGTAGAAAATTGTCGGTCGTGACTTTAAAACACTTCACATGACTTTAAGCTGAGAATGCATTTTTTTTTCATTTTTCAGAAAAAAATGAAGTAAAATCGCATATTGCATTGAGTACACAAACGGATATGCCATGGTGTCGATATTGACAAACATGATAAACGCTGTTTCATATGGCGCTGTGCATTACACTTGTGTTTTTAACTTATAACTTAGTAGTTTTACTTGAAAAAAAATAACTGACATCAGAACAATACAACAGAAGGACTTAATAAATCTGTGGATAGTCAGTTTAGCATTAACGTTGCTCTCAAAGCTTGAAAAAATCAAATGTTGTTTAGCAACGCATTTACTAGATAGATTATCAATTAACTGGAAAAAAGCTTTAAAATGCGAAGTTTGGCACTTCTTTTTATGTCCATTGCCTCATTTGTTCTCTGTGCATGTGATCCACACACTGATGATGAAATGGAGGAACTGATGGCACTGATCAAAGATCGAAAAGGTAACTTGAAAATAATTTTATGTCAGTCCTTAATCGCCTCTGTCGTTTTTGAGCAGACTACGCGATGGAATCCCTCATGCGCGAAGGACCGAATACGCGAAAAAAACAAATCAGCCAAATAGATTTCAGCAATCTAAAATTTGGAAAGGAAGTAAACATTTCCAGGGACTGGAGTATTGATATTGGCCGAATATAAAAACGGCAGAAATATACAACAATTTTTAAATTGTCATTGACCGCCGCAAAATTGGGACAAATTTTATATTTCAAGGGTTTCGTAATGAAAGATATTGCTTCATTTATTGTTCCGACTTTTGATACAAAAGTAACGGAATATTTGTGCTCGGGGTGGGTTTTTTTTTCTTCAAAAAAATTTCGACTTTTTAACTAGCCATTTTTGACGGACTTTTTAATATCATTCGAAAGATATTGTTGTCTTGAGCTCAAATTTGAAAAGATATTTCACCTGTGATCATTTGTCGTAAAGTTATGGGGGTTTAAAGATTGGGAAAATTAACGCGCGATACATTTCGCGCTATTAACGCGTAAGCGAAGATTTAATCCTCTTAGAAATTGTTTTAATTTGGTTGAAAGAAGCGAAGCGTTTTTGCCATATTTGATTTGTTACAAGGAGCGAAATCTATGCTTTTGTACTTTATATGGCGTGTGGGGCGATGATTTCAAAGTTTTTCATTTTGTTTTTCTTTTACAATTGACTTTTTAAGGTTTTTACTGCTCCATAAACCTTAAAAGGCAGTCGGAACATTCAGGGCTTCGCCCTGATACGAGCAGTCTTGTTTCATATAAATTGAATGGCAATTGCTTCTTTATAAAAATTGACTTTCGGCTAAATTTGTGTTCGATCTTCCTCTCACGAGTTTTTTCGCTCAATCGGTCCTTCGCGTATGAGAATAACCCCCCGCAGTTAGGACCTCAATTGATGACAGTCAGTTCCGATTCTTAGTTGTGCTTACAGTTTCTTTTCAAGACAAATATCGGCACGAAAAATTAACTGGAGAATGGTCACAAATCGGACCAAGACTGCTCGTGTCGAACGTTGCGACTGCCTCTCGAGGTATATGGAGCAGTAATAACATAAAAACAATTAAAAATTATAAAAAGTCATCCCCATGGGATAAAAAATAGAGTTTGAACTAAGCAGGATTAAATTTTTGTTCCGAACTTCGATACGAAAATAACGGAATATTTGTGCTCGGGATGGGTTTTTTTTTCTTCAGATAAACTAAGACCTTTCAACTAGTCATTTTTAAACATCATTCAAAAGGTAGTTTAAATTGGAAAAGATATTTCACCTACGATCATTTTTCATAAAGTTATGGGGGTTTAAAGATTGCCATTTCGGCCAATTTGGGACAATTAACGCGCGATATATTTCGCGCTATTAACGCGTAAGCGGAGAGTTAATCCGTCTTAGAAATCAATCCAAATTGGTTGAAAGAAGCTTGTTTGCCTTAATTGGTTTGTTACAAGGATCGAAATTTATCCTTTTGTACTTTATATGGCGTGTGGTGGGATGATTTTCATTAAAACAATTCAAATTTTAGAATTTTTTTTTTCATTTTGTTTTATTTCATTGATTTTTTTAAAATGTTATTACTGCTCCATAAACCTTAAAAGGCAGTCGGAACATTCAGGGCTTCGCCCTGATACAAGCAGTCTTGTTTCATATAAATTGAATGGCGATTGCTTTTTTTATAAAAATTGACTTTCGACTAAATTTGTGTTCCATCTTCCTCTCACGAGTTTCTTTCGGTCATTCGGTCCTTCGCGGATGAGAATAGCCCCCCCCCCCCGCAGTTAGGACCTCAATTGAAAACAATCAGTTCCAACTCTTAGTTTTGCTGACAGTTTCTGTTCAAGACAATTATCAGCACGAAAAATTAACTGGAGAATGCTCACAAATCGGACCAAGGCTGCTTGTGTCGAATGTTGCGACTGCCTCTCAAGGTCTATGGAGCAGTAATTACAAGAAAACAATTAAATGCTATATCAAGTCATCCCCTTGGGATAAAAAATAGAGTCTGAACAAGCCGGATTCAATTTTAGTTCCGAAAGTAACGTAATATTTGTGCTCGGGGTGGGTTTTTTTTCTTCAGACAAATTTCGATTTTAAACTAGCCATTTTGGACGAATTTTTTTTATATTGTTCGAAATCTTTTGATGTTCTAAGCTTTAATTTGAAAAGATAGTTTACCTGCGATTTTGTTTCATAAAGTTGTGGGGGTTTGAAGATTGCCACTATTTTCAATTCGGGACAATTAACGCGCGATATATTTCGCGCTATTAATGCGTAAGCGGAGATTTAATCCTCTTAGAAATCCTTCCAAATTGGTTGATGGAAGTATAATTGCCTGATTGATTTGTTACTAGGAGAGAAATCTATGCTTTTGTTTTTTATATGGCGTGTGGGGTGATGATTTTCATTAAAAAAATCAAATTTAAGAAAAAAAAGAATTTAAGAAAAAAAAGTTTTTCATTTTGTTTTATTACATTTGACTTTTTAACGTTATTACTGCTCCATGAACCTTAAAAGGCAGTCAAAACATTCAGGGCTTCGCCCTGATGCGAGAAGTCTTGTTTCATTTAAGTTGAATGGCAATTGCTTCTTTATAAAAATTGACTTTCGACTAAATTTGTGTTCGATCTTCCTCTCACGAGTTTTTTCGCTCATTCGGTCCTTCGCGCATGAGAATAACCCCCCGCAGTTAGGATCTCAATTGATAATAATTAGTTCCAATCTTTAGTTTTGCTTACGGTTTCTTTTCAAGACAAACATCAGCACGAAAAAATAACTGGAGAATGGTCACAAATCGGACGAAGACTGCAGGATTCAATTTTTATTCCGACCTTCGATACGAAATTAACGGAATATTTGTGCTTCGGGATGGATTTTTTCTTCAGACAAAATTCGACTTTTCCACAAGCCATTTTTTATTATCACTCAAAAGGTAATAATCTCTTGAGCTTAAATTTGAAGAGATATTTCACCTGCGATAATTTCTCATAAAGTTATGGGGGTTTTAAAGATTGCCATTTTGTTCAATTCGAGACAATAAACGCGCGATTAATTTCGCATTTTTACCGCGTAAGCGGAGTTTTAATCCTCTTAGAAAATGTTCCAAATTGACTGATGGAAGCATACTTGTCTACTTGATTTGTTGATAGGAGAGAAATCTATGCTTTTGTACTTTATATGGCGTGTGGGGGGACGATTTTCATTAAAAAATTCAAATTTAAGAAAAAAAAGTTTTTCATTTTGTTTTATTACATTTAACTTTTAATGTTATTACTGCTCCATAAACCTTAAAAGGCAGTCGGAACATTCAGGGTTTTGCCCTGATACGAGCAATTTTGTTTCCTTTAGTTGAATGGCAATTGCTTCTTTATAAAACTTGACTTTCGACTAAATTTGTGTTCCATCTTCCTCTCACGAGTTTCTTTCGCTCATTCGGTCCTTCGCGCATGAGAATAACCCCCCGCAGTTAGGATCTCAATTGATAATAATTAGTTCCAATCCTTAGTTTTGCTTACAGATTCTTTTCAAGACAAATATCAGCACGAAAAAATAACTGGAGAATGGTCACAAATCGGACGAAGACTGCTCGTGTCGAATGTTGCGACTGCCTCTCAAGGTCTTTGGAGCAGTAATAACACGAAAAAAATTAAAAGTTATGAAAGTCATTCTCGTTGGATACAAAATAGAGTCTGAACTAAGCAGGATTCAATTTTTGTTCCGACCTTCGATACGAAAGTAACGGAATATTTGTGCTTCGGGGTGGGTTTTTTTTCTTCAGACAAATTTCGACTTTTAAGCTAACCATTTTGGACGAAATTTATTTATATCACTCAAAAATTTTTGATGTCCTAAGCTTAAATTTGAGAAAATATTTTACCTGCGATGATTTCTCATAAAGTTATGGGGGTTTAAAGATTGCCATTTTGTTCAATTCGAGACAATAAACGCGCGATTTATTTCGCACTTTTACCGCGTAAGCGGAGTTTTAATCCTCTTAGAAATTGTTCCAAATTGACTGATGGAAGCATACTTGTCTACTTGATTTGTTACTAGGAGAGAAATCTATGCTTTTGTACTTTATATGGCGTGTGGGGGGATGATTTTCATTAAAAAAAAATCAAATTTAAGAAAAAAAAGTTTTTCATTTTGTTTGATTACATTTAACTTTTAATGTTATTACTGCTCCATAAACCTTAAAAGGCAGTTGGAACATTCAGGGTTTCGCCCTGATACGAGCAATTTTGTTTCATTTAAGTTGAATGGCAATTGCTTCTTTATAAAATTGACTTTCGGCTAAATTTGTGTTCGATCTACGGCTCACGAGTTTTTTCGCTCATTCGGTCCTTCGCGCATGAGAATAGCCCGCCCCCCGCAGTTAGGACCTCAATTAATAGTTATTAGTTCCAATCCTTAGTTTTGCTTACAGATTCTTTTCAAGACAAATATCAGCACGAAAAAATAACTGGAGAATGGTCACAAATCGGACGAGGACTGCTCGTGTCGAATGTTGCAACTGCCTCTCAAGGTCTTTTGAGCAGTAATAACACGGAAAAAATTCAAAGTTATAAAGTCATTCTCGTGGGATACAAAATAGAGTCTGAACTAAGCAGGATTCAATTTTTGTTCCGACCTTCGATACGAAAGTAACGGAATATTTGTGCTTCGGGGTGGGTTTTTTTCTTCATACAAAAATCGACTTTTCCACAAGCCATTTTTTAATATCATTCAAAAAGTATTGATCTTCTGAGCTTAAATTTGAAGAGATATTTCACCTGCGATTATTTTTCAGAAAACTATGGGGGTTTAAAGATTGCCATTTAGTTCAATTCGGGACAGTAACGCGCAATATATTTTGCGCTATCACCGCGTAAGCGGAAATTTAATCCTCTTAGAAATCGTTCCAAATTGGTTAATGGATGCATATTTGCCTAATTGGTTTGTTACTAGGAAAGAAGTTTATGCTTTTAAGATTTATATGGCGTGTGGGGTGATGATTTTCATAAAAACATTCAAATTTTAGAAAAAAATTGTCTCGTTTTGATTTATTACATTTAACTTGTTATTGTTATTACTGCTCCATAAATTTAAAAGGCAGTCGGAACGTTCACGGCTTTGCCCTGATACGAGCAATCTTGTTTAATTTAAATTGTATTGCAATTACTTCTTTATAAAAATTGACTTTCGGCTAAACTTGTGTTCGAACTTCCTCTCACGAGTTTTTTCGCTCATTCGGTCCTTCGCGCATGAGAATAACTCTCCGCAGTTAGGACCTCAATTGATGACAATCAGTACCGATTCTTAGTTTTGCCTACAGTTTATTTTCAAGACAAAATTCAGCACGAAAAATTAACTTGAGAATGGTCACAAATTGGACCATGACTGCTCGTATCGAATGTTGCGACGGCCTCTCAAGGTCTATGGAGCAGTAATAACATGAAAACAATTAAATGTTATGAAACGTCATCCCCTTGGGATAAAAAATAGAGTCTGAACTAAGCAGGATTCAATTTTTGATCCGACCTTCGATACGAAAAGAATGTACTATTTGTGCTCGGGTTGGGTTTTTTTTCTTCAGACAAATTTCGACTTGTAAACTAGCCATTTTGGACAAAATTTATTTATGTCACTCAAAAGTTTTTAATGTCTTGAGCTTAAATTTGAAAAAATATTTTACCTGCGATGATTTCTCATAAAGTTATGGGGGTTTAAAGATTGCCATTTTGTTCAATTCGAGACAATAAACGCGCGATTTATTTCGCACTTTAAACGCGTAAGCGGAAATTCAATCCTCTCAGAAATTGTTCCAAATTGGTTGACGGATGCATATTAGCCTAATTGATTTGTTACTAGGAGAGAAATCTATGCTTTTACGATTTATAAGGCGTGTGGGGTGATGATATTCATAAAAAAATTCACATTTTAGAAAAAAAAGCTTCTCATTTTGTTTTATTACATTCAAGTTTTAATGTTATTATTGCTCCATAAACCTTAAAAAGCAGTCGAAACATTCAGAGTTTTGCCCTGATACGAGCAATTTTGTTTCATTTAAGTTGAATGGCAATTGCTTCTTTATAAAATTGACCTTCGACTAAATATGTGTTCGATGTTCCTCTCACGAGTTTTTTCGCTCATTCGGTCCTTCGCGCATGAGAATAACCCCCCGCAGTTAGGATCTCAGTTTTTGACAATCAGTTCCGATTTTTAGCTTTGCCTACAGTTTATTTTCAAGAAAAAAATCAGCACGAAAAATTAACTTGAGAATGGTCACAAATTGGACCATGACTTCTCGTATGGAATGTTGCGACTGCCTCTCAAGGTCTTTGGAGCAGTATTAACATGACAACAGTTAAATGTTATAAAAATTCATCCCTTTGAGATAAAAAATAGAGTCTGAACTAAGCAGGATTCATTTTTTGTTCCGATCTTCGATACGAAAGTAACGGAATATTTGTGCTCGGGGTGGGTTTTTTTTCTTCAGAAAATTTTCGACTTTTCCACGAGCCAATTTTTAAAATCATTCAAAAGGCATTGATTTTTCGAGCTTAAACTTGAAGAGATATTTCACCTGCGATGTTTTTTCAGAAAATTATGGGGGTTTGAAGATTGCCATTTTGTTCAATTCGGGACAATTAACGCGCGATATATTTCGCGCTATCAAAGCGCAAGCGGAGATTTAATCTTCTTAGAAATCGTTCCAAATTGGTTGACGGATGCATAGTTGCCTAATTGATTTGTTACTAGGAGAGAAATTTATGCTTTTAAGATTTATATGGCGTGTGGGGTGATGATTTTCATAAAAACATTCAAATTTTATAAAAAAAAGTGTATCGTTTTGATTTATTACATTTAACTTGTTATTGTTATTACTGCTCCTTAAACCTTAAAAGGCAGTCGGAACATTCACGGCTTCGCCCTGATACGAGCAATCTTGTTTCATTTAAATTGTATGGCAATTACTTCTTTATAAAAGTTGACTTTCGGCTAAACTTGTGTTCGATCTTCCTCTCACGAGTTTTTTCGCTCATTCGGTCCTTCGCGCATGAGAATAACCCTCCGCAGTTAGGACCTCAATTGATGACAACCAGTTCCGATTCTTAGCTTTGCCTACAGTTTATTTTCAAGACTTTTTATTCCGACCTTCGATGCGAAAGTAACGGAATATTTGTGCATCGGGGTGGGTTTTTTTCTTCAGACAAAATTCGACTTTTCCACAAGCCATTTTTTATTATCTCTTGAGCTTAAATTTGAAGAGATATTTCACCTGCGATAATTTCTCATAAAGTTATGGGGGTTTAAAGATTGCCATTTTGTTCAATTCGAGACAATAAACGCGCGATATATTTCGCGCTATCAAAGCGCAAGCGGAGATTTAATCTTCTTAGAAATCGTTCCAAATTGGTTGACGGATGTATATTTGCCTAATTGATTTGTTACTAGGAGAGAAGTCTATGCTTTTACGATTTATAAGGCGTGTGGGGTGATGATATTCATAAAAAAGTTCACTTTTTAGAAAAAAAATTTCTCATTTTTAGTTTTTACATTTAACTTGTTAATGTTATTACTGCTCCATGAACCTTAAAAGGCAGTCGGAATTTTCAGGGCTTCACCTTGGTACGAGCAATTTTGTTTCATTTAAGTTGAATTGCAATTGCTTCTTTATAAAAATTGACTTTCGGCTAAATTTGTTTTTCGCTCATTCAGTCCTTCGCGCATGAGAATAACCCCCTCAGTTAGGACCTCAATTAATGACAATCAGTTCCGATTCTTAACTTTGCCTACAGTTTATTTTCAAGACAAAATTTAGCACGAAAAATTAACTTGAGAATGGTCACAAATTGGACCATGACTGCTCGTATGGAATGTTGCGACTGCCTCTCAAGGTCTATGGAGCAGTAATAACATGAAAACAGTTAAATGTTATAAAAATTCATCCCTTTGGGATAAAAAATAGAGTCTGATTTAAGCAGGATTAAATTTCTGTTCCGATCTTCGATACGAAAGTAACGGAATGTTTGTGCTCGCGGTGGGTTTTTTTTTCTTCAGACAAATTTCGACTTTTCAACTACCCATTTTTTATATCATTCAAAAAGTATTGTTTTCTTGAGCTTAAACTCGAAAAATATTTCACCTGCAATCATTTTTCAGAAAATTATGGGGGTTTAAAGATTGCCATTTTGTTCAATTCGGGACAATTAACGCGCGATTTATTCCGCACTTTAAACGCGTAAGCGGAAATTTAATCCTCTCAGAAATTGTTCTAAATTGGTTGACGGATGCATATTTGCCTAATTGATTTGTTACTAGGAGAGAAATCTATGCTTTTACGATTTATAAGGCGTGTGGGGTGATGATATTCATAAAAAATTCACATTTTAGAAAAAAAAGTTTCTCATTTTGATTTATTACATTTAACTTGTTAATGTTATTACTGCTCCATGAACCTTAAAAGGCAGTCGGAATTTTCAGGGCTTCGCCTTGATACGAGCAATTTTGTTTCATTTAAGTTGAATTGCAATTGCTTCTTTATAAAAATTCGCGCATGAGAATAACCCCCCGCAGTTAGGACCTCAATTGATGACAATCAGTTCCGATTCTTATTTTTGCTTAGAGTTTCTTTTCAAGACAAATATCGGCACGAAAAATTAACTGGAGAATGGTCACAAATCGGACCAAGACTGCTCGTGTCGAATGTTGCGACGGCCTCTCAAGGTATATGGAGCAGTAATAACATGAAAACAATTAAATGCTATAAAAAGTCATCCCCTTAAAAAGATAAAAGAGGATAAAAAGTCATCCCCTTAAAAAGGATAAAAAATAGAGTCTTAAAGTTCTGTAAAATACATATAAAATATCGTAAAAGCGTGCCTGCCGATCTAAATATAGAGGATGAAAATAACATGGCTGAAAAAAAAATTTTTTAGCAGAGAAGCAATCAACAGCTACAACGGCATACAGTTCTCTCGCTGACAAACTTGAAGATCAAAAACTGGACGAAGATGATAAGATTGACGAAGAATCCGAAACCTCTGAGTCATTGGACGATGAGATCTCGGAGCCAAATTACGTCGATTTGACGGATCTTTTAGATGAACTCTTGAACGGCGAGGGGGGACCCTCGGACAATGCGCATCTGACGGACTCTTATGACAATGAAGAGATCTCTGAGTACGAATCGGAGTCGTCGGAGGAGCTGCTTGAGGAGGAAAAAGACATTCTCACAGAGGAAATGGGTTATGAGGAGACCAAAACGGAAACAGATACTCAAGTGGAAGAGGTAGTTTTAATATACTTTTTCATTGTAAGAAGCGTGTCAGAGAAGGGGGATCTAAGTTTCCTGCGCCGCATGCAAATTTATGAAAAAACAAGCCAAAAAACGGTTGTAGGCATTTTTTGGAAAATATTGACCAAAAATTGTGTTTTTTTTGGCGCGCTCCAATCTCAAAATTAGTATATTTTGGCCTTTAGAAAAATTTGGGGCCAGTCAGCCAAAAATTGATATCTCAAAATAGATCAAAGGGGAGACCAAATATATATAAGGAATGGACTTTGGGGAAATATTTCATTGGGAAATCAGGTTCCATAAATCAGCATCAGATTGATTCTTGTGATATATATAATTAAAATCATTCAACCAGGATATGCAGACTGGTATTCAGCACTTGTATTGAGTACTTTCAGACTGATTTTCAAAGTTTCAAAAAGCTCAGCCTTAATTTGTTTTCAAAATAAATTTGCAATATTACAGTAAAATTTAGTTTCACTTTTTGATTTCAATCAATCTCTGCTGCCCATGAAAAGTGCCGCAGTTTCTGAAAAGATGATTTTTTTCCTTATTCTCTTTTCCTCCCATAAATCAACGTTTGCGGAGCAAGCTGTGCTATTTGCACGAAAATACCGTTCGTTTCGGTTAAGTACTTAGTTTTTTCTTGGGTAAGCTTAGGGTTTCATGTTTTCGCAAAGAGCGCCGATTTCACGAATACTTTAACATTTTGATTTGAAGTTAATGGAATTTTTGTGGTCAATTCTAAAAACTCCGACTTGTCAGTAACAAGAGGGGTTTGGAAAAGTTGTTTTGAGTAGATAACAGACGAAGAAGGCAACAAGGAAGAAGCAGTACTAGTTGAGAATGCGACTGTGTATACTAACAAGGACGACAACAGCACAGTCGTGTTGATCCAAGACTTGCTGAGGATTCTCAAGGATAAAGATGATGAAGATGAAGATGATGAAGGGGAAGATGACGAGGAAGTAGTGTACGAGGTTGAGGCTACAAGCGACGTGGAGTTAGAGGGACAGTTCGATGAGAACCAGGTAAGAATAGAGGGTTATTTTCTATAAAAATATACCTATACCGCACCAGATTTAAAAAATGTTCTTTGCAAAACTCTTATCTTTTAGCGTATAATGGGGGGGGGGGGGAGTGGTATTGAACTTGTTATCACTCATGAAACCTCGGCTGTGTTACTATCTTAATACAATTATTTTTTCCAATCGATCGGTTCCGATCCTTCAAGTTGTGAGGAAGGAACTCAAAAACTAATATGATTCGATGATCAATAGACTAAAAACTGACAACATTTTTAAACAATAGGTATCAGTTTTGTATGGCACAGCGAAGCTTTCAGGCATGCAGTGAGACGAAGCCGTGCGAGAGTGGTTTCTTCTGTCCTCTGGACGCTGGAGTTCTGGCCACGTGTACTGAGTGCAGATCAGACAATGCACAATGTTTCTCCAATTTGGAGTGTTGTGGGGTGCAAAGTGGGGCTGGGGGAGTTTGTTTTTTCGGAAGGTGCAAAGGGGGAGTGGAGAAGGGGAGTAGGGGGACACAGTGTGATGGGAACGAAGACTGCAATGAGGACCACTGCTGCCACTACATGTCCGGCTAGTGCAATTTTCTCGTGACCACAGCGTCAACTGGCAGGAAATTTGAAACCAATTAAAACCTATGAAAACCCAGATTGAAACATGTGGGTTATGTTTATAGACTTTTGAACAAACAGATCAATGGATGGTTATCAAAAGCGGTTTTTTGGGAAGGGGGCGAGGGGGGCTTTTGGAAACTTTTGTTACTATTTAAGGACGACGTTCTATTTTGGCAATCGTACCCTAAAAATTTCTGAAAGGCGTCTTTGGTGAGAATCTTAAACCATCGCCTGTTGCCTAATTTAGATTTCGGCCAATCTTATGCATTGCGATCAAGGAGCTAATATTTTTGTTTCTAGGCTCGGGGGAGGGACTATTATGGGAGATAGTCCAGCGAAAGGGCTTTACGGAGTAGTTATTTCGAGTTACTTATAGTCCGTTTTGATCTTGTCGGTCTGCGTTTGGATCACGAGCTTTTTCAATTGATGATCCTTAGTTATGGAGATGCTTCCCCTCGCCCCTACAACTCTCCTCAATTTCCAGAAGAAACTGAAAACTCAATTGCTCATTGAAGAAAAATCCTAACTCGGCAGCACTTTAGAATCTTTTCAGAGTTAAGGTGCTCAAATCCCATTATTATCATTAAACCCTTCCTTTTCAGATTTCCAGTTGAACATGTGCGAGGCGGAGGCGGTGGAGGGGGAGGCCTGTTTGAGTGGGGAGATGCAGATGGCCACGGGGGTGTCTGAAATATTCGTGGAGGGGTGTGCACCCTGCCACACAAACTATACCTGCCACACTGACAGGTAAGTGTTTTAATATTACAATCATTTTACATCATCAAAAACATCCTTAGTGGTATATTTTGCCCCCAAACATTTTGTCCCTTTTAAGTTTAGTGGCACATGTGTGAAGGGCAAAATGTGTGACGGGCGGAATGTGCTACTAAATTTATGAAGGGCGAAAAGTGTGAGTGCCGAAATCATTTCGCCTCCTTGTTAATTTAGCCCCTTTTGAATAAAGTGGCACATTTCGCCATTCATACATTTCACCCCTCACAGTATTCGCACCTCCTAAATTTGAAGGCCCATTTGGCTCCTCACAAACTTTGCTCCCCCTAAGTTCGCCCCATATTTGCCCCTCACACATTCCTACCCTCTTAAATATAGTGGCACATTACACACCTCACGCATTTTGCCTCTCCTAAATTTAGTGGCACGTAAAATTTTTCCGACATTTCCGAGTTTCTTAATAGATAATTTTTAAGATAGCAGTTTTTACCAAATTATCAAAATTATAAAAAAAGCCAAAAACATTTTGAATTTGTTTTTATAACTTAATAACAGAATAAAATCCAGTTTCGATTTTTTTCTTAATTTTATGCATGTAAAAATTTTATGATAGCGGTTACAATATTTGAATTTCAAACAAAAAATTATATTTTTGGTGGGTTTCTTAGTTATAGGTAATAGGCGCTTCAAAACGAATCATGTCATTTAGCTGCGGACGTATTGTATGTGGGGTTCAGGGGTTCAGGTAGACAACGACAAAATTTCTTGTTATCAGCAAAAAAACTAGCTCTATAATATAAGTGGGCTGCTAAGTAAACTCATGTGGCAAAACGAGACAAAATGGCCTATGAATGTCTGGTTTTGTACTCTGCGACATTGGTGAACTTTTGAACTCGTTATAGCAAAATTTTGAAAAATAAAGATGCAAAAAAGTATAAAAACTTACAACTTTCTTATAAGAAAAAGTTTCAACATTGTAAAATTCTTAGAGCCTAATTTTGTAGGAAGTTGTATAATTCTTATTAGAAAAAATTTCTAAGATAGCGACTTTTGGTCAACCCGGGTCCTCGCACATTTTACTCTTTAGCAATTTCTCCCCTTTAGTAGCGAATTTTGCCACTCGCACTTTTTACACCTCATAAACTTAATAGCATAATCTCCCGTCTCACGTTTTGCTACTTTGAAATTTAGTGGCACATTTCGCCTCTTTCAAATTTAGTGGCACATTTGGCCCCTTACACATTTCGCCAATTTTAAAAATACTTGCACATTTTGCCCCTCGCATAATACCTCACACCTAAAGTGCCGTAATAAAGAAGGGAAAAATTTGTGAAGGCCAAAATGTGCCACTAAGTTTAAGAGGGGCGAAATGTATGCGGGTAAATTGTGCCACTTATTTAAAAAGGGTTTAGATTAGATGTGTGAGCAGCCATATTTGCCATTTAAATTGAGAGGGACGAAATGAATGGGGTGCCAATTTTAACACTAGTTTGAAGTGTGGTTAAATTTGTGAGGAGCGATATTTGCCGCTTAACTTGAGAGGGGCGAAATGTTTAAAGCCAATTAGGCCACTAATTTAAAAAGGGGTTAAATGTGTGAGCAGCAATATTTGCCACTTAACTTGAGAGGGACGAAATGTATGAGGGGCCAATTTTACCACTAATTTGAAGTGTGCCTAAATTTGTGAGGAGCGATATTTGCCGCTTAACTTGAGAGGGGCGAAATATTTGAAGCCAATTGTGCCACTAATTTAACAAGACTGCTCGTATCAGGGCGAAGCCCTGAAAGTTCCGACTGCCTTTTAAGGTTTATGGAGCAGTAATAACATAAACAACATAAAAAAAATTGGATCTACTGAACAATCTCCCCCCCTATTGTATCTACTAAAGAATCCCCCCTTTCTTGAAATAGTGGGAGGTTGTTAAGTAGATCCAAAAAATTAAATGAAATAAAATAAAATGAAAAACTTTTCTAAAATTTGAAAATTTTTCTATGAAAATCATCCCCCCACACGCCATTTTGCTCCTTGTAACAAATCAATTATGGCAAATAAGCTTCTTTCAACCAATTACCAATTTGGAATGATTTCTAAGACGGATTAAATCTCCGCTTACGCGTTAATAGCGCGAATTATATCGCGCGTTAATTGTCCCAAATTGGTCAAAATGGCCAAAATGGCAATCTTTAAACCCTCTACGAAAAATGATCACAGGTAAAATTTCTTTTCAAATTTAAGCTCAGGACAACAAAACCTTTTGAATGATATAAAAAAATTCCGTCAAAAATGGCTAGTTAAAAAGTCGAAATTTGTCTGAAGAAAAAAAAACCCACCCCGAACACAAATATTCCGTTACTTTCGTATCGAAAGTCGGAACAAAAAGGGGTTAAATGTGTGAGCAGCAATATTTGTCACATAACTTGAGAGGGGCAAAATGTATGAGGGGCCAATTTTACCACTAAACTGAAGTGTGGTTAAATTTGTGAGGAGCGATATTTGCGCTTAACTTGATAGGGGCGAATTGTTTGAGGGGCCAATTGTGCCATATATTTAAAAAGGGGTGCTACCAAAATTACGAGGGGTGAATTGTTAGGGTCAAAAAGTGCGAGGGCGAATTGCGTATGGGCTTGTGGGTTTGAGCTGCGCCATTTTCAGAGGGGCAAAGTCTGCCACCATATTTAAAGAGGGGCGAAATGTGTGAGGGAATTTTTTTATTAAGCTCAATAGGGGCGAATTGTGTGAGGGCCACAATGTGTGTAAACCATGATAATCTATGGGTTTACGGTCAAGTTTTGTTAAATCTATGGGCAGTCTTGCGGTCAGAGGCGGATCTAAGATTTTATCGACCTTTTTTTAGGTCGACCAAAGTGATTTTCTGAGCTCTTCCAAATCACTATAAACAACCCATTTTGACCAAATTTTCTGCGCTGCAGGCAATTTTTGAAAAAAAGGCCAAAAGAGGCGTTTTTAGGCCCTTTTTGGATCATTTTGACCAAAAAATGCGTTTTTTCGGCGCGTGCTCCCCCACAAAATTTGTATTTTTTGGCGCCAAAGGCTCTTTTAGAAATTTTTAGGGTCAGTCAGCCAAAAAATTGATATCTCAAAATAGTACAAAGGGGACCCTGTTTTTGGGTCGGCAGGGGATTGAATCCCTGAGGAAAGGGGAAGAGGTGTCCGCTTTCCGCTCCCCCCCCCCCCCCCCTAAATCCGTTGCTGCTTGCGGTATTTGTTAAATCTATCCCTATAGAGCTTATTACTTTTTCCAAAAGAGCATTCGTCAGTTCCGTTTTTCCTAATTTGAATGTATATTTTCAGTGGCATGTGTCAAAAAAGCGAAACTGAAGACGAGGCGGATGGACAACCTTGGAAATAATCGTGTCGGAATCTACTCATCGAACAATCATTCACATCAGAACTTAATTATGCTTAACTCAACCTATAATTAATAAAAATAACCATATTTAATCAATGTTTCTATCTGTAATTAGAAGTCGAAATCGGAGATCTGAGGATGGCGTTGATTGAGTTCAAATAAAGCAAGAATGCTCGTATCAAGGCAAAGCCCTGAGTTTTCCGACTGCATTTGAAGGTCTATGGAAAAGTGTTTGATGTTAGAAAATGGATGAAAATAAAAGAAAAGATCTTGTGTTTTTTACTACATACCACATACTATTTAAAGAACAAAGTGATAAATTTCGCCCAGAGCGAGGTATTAAATAGGCCCACTAGCATGCCTCATTTCAATTTGAAACGATTTTTAAGACGGATTAAATCTCCGCTTACGCGCTAATAGCGGCATGAAAAAATATCGCGCACTAATTGTCCCAAATGGACCAGATTAGCAATCTTTGAAGTTTGAACTCAGGACAACAATACTTTTGTAAAGCTATAAGAAATTCCGTCAAAAATTGCTAGTTAAAAAGTCGAAGTTTGTCAGGAGAAACAGTCGAAGTTTGTCAACCGCGGGCAGAAATATTTTGTCATTTTCTGCGAAATTAGCCGGAACAAATACCAGTCCAATCTTAATGATTTTGAAACATAATTAGAAATAAATCGATCTGATTTGATCTGTAAAAAATGAGTTTCTAGTTTTTCACCATTCTTCAGTTGATTGCTTTTACACAGCATTAAAGTTGAATACCCGTTTCTTGGAAATGTTCTATATCGAATCAAAATTTTTCAATTCTAAAATTCAGATCTTAAATGGGCTGTGAAATGTTAAAACAACGGTTGGATACTTTAAGACTGCGTTATTTTAGATCTAAATGCAGATCTAAAATTTGGTTTTTTGGTTGTTTCAGATCTGAAAAAAATCTATTTCAGATATAATTTCAGATCTGAATTTTTGTTTTTCATTGGTTATTTCCGATCTGAAAAAATCAAAGTTTGTGAGACAATTTTTTGCTATTTTAGGTACTTTTGTACATTATAGCTTCTGCTAGCTACCGCAAAATCTGTAATTGCTTGCTGTTAAAACGTGTTTCCCAAAACATGAGACAAACCTTTGAAATGCATAAAATTTGAAAGCTTGATTGTCTTCTAACAATTTTTGAAGAGCTTTTAGAACAATTGAACAAGGGTTTATTGCCAATTGGGACAATTCTATGAACGCGTACTAATTACCTTTGTGAATTGCGCCATATAATATTCTCAAACTTAATTGACTGAAAAGTTCAACTCCGATCCAGATTAACACCCCTCATCCCTAAGCTGCTTAAAAAATTGTAGTTTGTATAAGGGTCGGTACATGACAAAAACTAAGTGCACTTGAAATTTTTAAAAACATTTTTATCGCGTATATTGGCGCACACCTCTCGCCAATTCTTGGCTTACTGCTCGAATAGCATACGGTTTGACTAGCATAACGGGTTAAAAACATAAAAGTTTAAGAAATTGCAGACATTTGTCAAGTTTACGTCTCACAAACACATTTTAACAAAAAAATTCAAAGATGTATTTCTGAGATTACGTGCGGGCGGTGTAGAACACTTGTTTGGGCATGAAGGAGTGATCCCACAGCTACCGCCCCAGTATAGACCAATTTGAAAACTTCCAGCCCAGAACTTGCTAATGGCAGCATATAAAATGGTCGAATCTGAATGGCTGAAATCTCCAAACTTGAACCAAATTAACACAATTTAATTTGAACCGAGTTTCCGTTCGTATGAAGTTGTCTGGAAATGTATGAATAGCTTAATTTCATGCTTTGAATCTGTATAACAAGCTTTTTTGATCAACCCAGGAGTTTAATGGAAATATATGACAAGTTTTTTCTTTGTATGAAAGTTGGGATCTACTTAACAATCTCCACCCCTTTCAAGAAAGGGGGTTGTTAAGTAGATAAAATGGTCGACTTTTCGACCAATCAGAATGCAGCAAAATTACGATTCTCAATATAAAGCGCAAGCGCTAATTTGCTACTTTTACATATAAGGGTGGATATTCTTAAGTAGATACCTTAGAGGGGAGATTGTTAAGTAGATCCGAAAGTTGTTTATCCCGCAGGAATTGTTTAAACAGATAATACTATCATTTTTCATGAATCCAAAATATTTTTGCTCAACTTATTTTTTTGCCATTTTTGTTCCGACTTTCATAACAAAAGTAACCGAATACTTGTGCTCGGGGTGGGTTTTTTTTTTCTTCGGACAAATTTCTACTTTTTAACCAGCCATTTTTGACGGAATTTTTCACCAAGTTATGGAGATTAAAGATTGCCATTTTGGCCAATTTCGGACAATTAAAGCGCGATATTTTTTGCGCTATTAACGCGTAAGTGGAGATTTAATCCGTCTTAGAAATCATTCCGAATTGGTTCAAATTGGTTCCAAATTGGTTCTTATAAGCTACAATTGATTTTTTATTAGAAGAAACATCTATCGCTCTGAATTTAATATGGCGTGTGAGGAGATGTTTTTACAAAAAATCTCAAATTAATATATATATATATATATATATATATATATATATCGTCTTTTATTACATTTAATTTTTTCATGTTATTAATGCTCTATAGACCTTAAAATACAGTCGGACAGTCGGAACATTCAGGGCTTTGACCTGATACGAGCAGTCTTGTTGATTTTGCTAACGTATGATTGGCTTGCTTGTGTCGCATGTTTTGAATAAAACAATTATATGTACCAGACACGACTGCTCGTATCAAAGCAAACCCCGAACGTTCCGACTGCCCTTTAAGTGGTCTCGAATAGTTTTTAATAAAAATAAGTTTGGCAAAAATTCGAATTTTAGGCCAATCTTATTAAATTACAAACCAATTAGTTGCCTGCCTCAGTAAAATCAATTAGCTGCCTCAATTAATTTTGGAGCGATTTTGTAAAGTGTTTTGTAACGTGTATATTATAAAACGAACAAGCTAGGCAGACTAGTGGCAGATTACTGTAATGTGGAGCACACCCGGATAGGCCTATGCAGATCAATAGTTTGATCACCCGAGAGACAAGAGCTTTGTAGAATTTGTATGAATAAAGAAAAACCACCCAGAGCAAATATATTCCTCACTTTCTTCAAAAATCTTAACAAATACTAAACAGGACTGCTCGTATCAAGGTGAAGCAATCAATGCTCCGATTGCCCCATAAGCTCTATGGAATAGTGTTTGTTGAAAGAAAATTGATGAAATTAAATATAAGTGAAAAAGCGTCCCTCACACGCTATATAAAGTTCAAAATGATTTATTTGGCGTTCATCAAAGTATTAAATAAACCTAATAGCTTGCCTCAATTCAATTTGGTGCAATTTCTAAGACGGATTAAATCTCCGCTTACGAATTGTTAGCACCAAAAAAATCGCGAGTGAATTGTACCAAATTGCTCAAGTTGACAATCATTAAACCCCATATTTCTGCAAAAAATAATCACAAGTTATTTATCTTTTTGAATCTGAGCTCAAAACTACAAAGTTTCGAATGACTGGAAAAAATTGCGTCCAAAATTGCTAGTAAAAAGTCGAAAATTGTCGGAAAAAAAAACACCCGAGCACAATTTTTCCGTCTTTTTCTTCAAAGATCGGACTTTAAAATTTATGATCTGAAAAACGTAGCAGTTGTAGTTAAGTGACAGACAAAGTCCAAGTTTTGAGCAATTTAGAAAAAATACTACCAGTTGATGCGCAGTTCTCAGTTGGATACTAAAAATCAAACGGCTCAACCAGGCGTTTAAGAAAAACTCTATTGGCAACTAATGGTTTTTTAAAGTTGCTATGTTACTTGCCAATGCCTCGTAAGGAATAGTCGCTTGTTACGATTTATCGCCTGTTGCGTCTACCCTCTAAATTATGTGGACAGATTATCATTTGCTTTTTTTCACTAAGCAAATCTCGGACATGTCGGCAGTTCGATTAATTAAATGCCGAGTGTACTGAAAAATTTCACGTCTGATTTGTGATGTTTGTCGCAGTGAAAAATTTAGATTATGATCAATTTCAGTATAAAAAGCAAATAGATTTAATTGAGATCAACTTTTTCATGAAAAAGAACGAAGGATAATTAGAAAAGACAAAGATTGACTTAAATTAGTTTAAAGTTGATTTAAACTGAGCTTAAATCCCAGCTAAGCAAAGTTTTACAAAAGTTTTACATTGTTTATTTCATGACTACATAGCCTGTTTTTGAGCTCTAAGTCAAAATCTGATTCATTTCCCTGATTTGTTACCTGGAGTTTGCATGGTTTTTCTGATTAGTTTTGACTTTTTCATGATGTCTATTTATCTAGCATGTATGCATTTATTTGAAAAAACGAAAGTAAATTTTTTGTTCAATTTTTCTTAATGACATGTTTGCGCAATTTTAGCAAAAAAGTCGAAAAATTGATGTATATTGATTTGACATGGATTATTAGACACTGTTTGGCTCAATTTTTTTTAAATGGACTTTAGTATGATTTGGATGGATTTAGGTAATATTCGGACAAATTTTAGTGAGTCAGAACATCCATGCAAATTAATTTAGATGGTTTTTTAAACATTTCGACCACTGAAAATTTTTCAGGAAATCGATTTGGATCAGTTTAAAATTGGTTTAAATTGATCCAAAATCAATTTTTTAAATTCATTTCCTGTCAACAAAAGCGGAGCAAATCTTGATCACGGCCAAAATTTTTTGGAAAACATAACTTCTATATCAGCGGAAACATTACCAATGTTATACACATCCGAGCACAATTTCTGTTTTGATCGAATCCACTGAAACATAGCACCCTTGGGTGGCAAACTGTCAAACATGTTTTTTCTTTGGTCGATTCGGTCGACACACAGCTATTTTTTGTCCAATCGGACGGAGCATAACTCAAACGGCTCAACCAGGCGTTTAAGAAAAACTTTATTGGCAACTAATTACTTTTTTAAGTTGCTATGTTAGCTTATCGTTTGTTTCATGTGGAACCCTTCTGTCACTTCATTTTCACATGACTCCGTGTGGTACCCACACTGATAAACATTTATTCGTGTTTTAGGACGTAGAACTTAGATAATGAAATGGTTTTTAAATCGATTTTTAACTAGTGTTTTTATCGAAAAAATTTGATCAATTTAACTGTCTAAAAAACTATTTAAATTGATATTGATGGATTCTCCTTGTCACTAAAATCCATTCGAATT